ATATATATATATATATATATTGCCCGCGTAATAAAAATATACTATGAGCATGATAAATTCCAAAAGCATGAAAGCCTACATTGTCTACCTAATTCGAGAGAAGCAAAGGCACTCAAAAGAAAGACCGAAAACGCATAGAAGCTCATTAAGGAAAGTAATCAAATTGGTTCACATATATCTATATATGGTCGATGATATGAAGGCTCCAATAACTTAAAGTCAACCATTCAATTGTACTCTTACTCTACAAGCATCTTATGACATTCTTTTTTGTTTTTGTATTAATCTTATGACATTCTAGCTCCTTGCATTCTTATAAAAATTCTCATCAAAATTTCAAAGTTTTATAATGTAGATCATCTTAAGGTGTTTGTGGTTCCATTTGAATTAGTTTTGAGATAAAAGAAAATTCCGATATGATTAATAAAAAAATATTATCCAGTTTAAGTTAGTTTCTAAATGATGTCAAATTTGAACTAGTTTTGTCAATTGTTTATTTGGGTTGTATTGGATCGGTTATTTTAGTTTTTATTGAGTAATATTTTAATTTTTCACAAATAAATAATTTTTCATTAATTTAGAGTAAGAGTGGAATTTGAAAAATACAAGTTATGCGATTTAAAGAATATTATGCATTGAGTTTTTTCAAGATCCAAAATTGCTATATTAAATTTCTGTTTTCACATTTTGATTTTTGAACAAGTTCAACCCAACATATAAATCGAATTGTGAAAAGTGTATAAAATTTGAGTCAAAAGACTCAAAACCTAAATGCAAAATGAAAGGTTATAAAATGTAAAACCCAAATGTAGCATCATTTTAAAGAAAACTGATAAATTAGCCAACTCAATCTAATTTTTTAAACACTAACTTAGACTTTTAGTTGAATATATATGTTAATACTAATTTGTTTTATTTGCAATCTATTTATATATATTACGTAGAAGTCATGTTTCTGTATATATTTTGTGCCAATTTCATAAAATTTTATGATAAAATCTTACCTTCGAAGTAACATGTAATACCTTTCTGTACTTCACTTTTTTTTTTATTGAAGTGATGGCTTTGATTACTTTCAGCAAAGATTCTCAATTTCTTGAATTGAACTTCCAATTCGTACACAACACCTCTTTTATCAATTTTTTTTTTTTTTTTTACTAAAAATATTTCTCGTGATTAATTTCTTTCAAAAACGTAAAAATTATTATAAAAAAAATTCACAACAGCATCTTCTTTATAAGCAATCAAATAATCAAACACATGTGAAAATATTTAAGAAACCCAACTATGTAACTACACATATTGGTTGATACACTTTTCACAATTTTTTTTTCTTCATTTTAAGTACGTTTTATTAAATAAACGAGAATTTATCTGTTCTAAAATATCAAATAATATATTTTTAAATGAAATACTATAACAACTACTAATTAAAAAAAATAACGATTGAAATTTTAATAGTTTCCTAATTTATCTACCATACACATGTATAATTTTCATAATCTTAATTTATAATTATATTTATACTATTAATTTATATTATTATCTATATTATTAACAAATGAAATTATTTGTTTATTTATATACATACTTTTTAGACACTATAAATAACTACTTCTTAAATTATTATTTCTCTCTTCACATGTTTTTCAAAACTACCCTTACAATTGTAACTATTTTAAAATATTAAAATTTTAATTATTAATTACTCACTTTTATTTTATTGATATTTTTTATAAGTTACATGCAGATATTTTTACACCAATTAATAACAAAAAGAAATTCCGATATTCATTTTTATCTTTCTTATTTTACGTTTAATAACCATATATAATATCCAATAATCATACAAATCACTAGAATAAATTTATTATTTTCTTTTTTTTTTAATAGAGATACGTAGTACTTTTTTTTACTGGTAACTATAACTACAATAAAAAAAATAGATATAAGTGCAAAAGTAAAAAATTAAAGTGCACATTCTCACTTAAATTTAATATTTATTTAATAAAATTCACCTTTATATATAAAATACGAAAACTATATTATTGAGATTAATTTTTTAATAAGTGCAATTTTAGACTATTTTTCTTTAATAATATGATTTTTTTATATATATTTTTTATTTATTTTAATTTTTATTTGTCACATATACACACACACAAACAAACATATATATATATATATATATAAGGATTGATCCATTTACTTCAAGAATAACGTATTTCTTATATCAATTTTCAATTATCTAATTGTTAAATTAAAAATTCTTAATACATAGGTCAAATTTGTAAATTTAATTATTTTTAAAATTATTTAATATTTTGTTTTATTAATTCAAATTGATGAATAATCATAAAAATATTTCATACATTGAATTGAATTTATATAATGAAGCATATGATTTTTTAAACTTTTTAAAAATTTGAAGACTTCATCTCTACATTAAAAACATTTAATTTAATAATTAAATTATTAAAATTTGATATAAGATATGTTATTATTAAGTAGAGTAACTCTATTAAAACTTACTCCAAGTAAGTAGACCCTTTATATATATATATATATAGTTAATCACCTATACACTGTCAGTGTAAAGTTTTTTACACTGGCAACCAATTATATTTTTTAATTGTGTCATGTCACTGTTAAAAGTAAATGTGCTTATAGTGACATGACACAATTAAAAGATATAATTGGTTGCCAGTGTAAAAAAACTTTACACTGGCAGTGTATAGGTGATTAACTCATATATATAT